GAGTCAGTTCATACTCCTAGTGACCCTCTACATAACACAACGAAAAACTGCCCAGTTCTGTGCCATCCACATACTCACAGATATAATGCATTTCATTATTTATTTAAAAATAAAAAACGTCTTAATAACTTCCATGATTCTTTTGTGTGGTGCATCTTTCTTTTATTGTACATGTTAAACAATTGATAAGTATTATTCAGTGGCATATGGTCTGAGTCTGACGTGCTTTGAAAGGAGTACAGAGTTCTGATAATGAGGATTCTGTGAGAATGGGAAAAGCAGCACAGCAGATATGCTTTGAGAAAGTATGGGGTTTTTAGCATCTTGAAACAATATATCACACTCAAAGGGACAGAATTGGGCTGTGCAATCTGTTAGCTCATTCTTGTCCAATCTGGTCTCCTCCTTTCTTTTGGAGCCAGCATTGTCATCAACTTACTGAATTATATTCTGACTGGAATGTATTTCAGGCACAGAGTAATGTATCTACTTAAATGGAATCCTATCTTTCTATAAAAGCTTTTTGAGTATAATAAATTTTAAAAAATTCTATTAAGTTAAAGTAAATGGTTCAACCGTTTACATATGTGCCTCCTCCCCCATCACTCTTAAGAAAAGAGAGAGACCACTACTTAGAGGCGCGCACAGCCCTAACTGTTGTGTTCAACTAGCAGATATATTTTCAAAGGTACTTATTAAGAAAGATGTGTATGAATTACAAGAAATGTTCATTGAAGTGACGTGAAATGTAGAATTAAACTGAAGCTTCCTATCTATAAAGATTTACAGCTTGGTGCAATTATGCTGTCGTATAGGGTTCTCCTCCCATAAAGATTTACAGCCTTGGAAACCCTGTACAGGGTCGCTATGGGTCGGAAACGACTTGACGGCACTTAACAACAACAACAACATAGGGTTCCTAGAGTTGAAGCTGACTCAGTGAATGGGTTGGGATATCAGTGTTTCAACTGTTGTTATTCTTTTGTAAACTCTATGACAGTCCTTCTTAATAAGAGTTAAGCCTTAGTGTCCTAAGGCAGCCATTGTATGGAATGAATGGATTTGTCTCTCATGCATCTAGAATGCCACTCTCCAGAGAATTGGAAAAAAGTGACTCCGATATTTTTTGTAGGACTTCACTTTCTCATAGAACCCTGAGTTGAAAAGGTTGTGCTATAGTGATGGAGGTCACTGAGGCTTCCATTTGAAAACTGTTGTGTTATATAAACAAACTGGGCATTATATTAAAACTGCTGTATTGCTTTATATAAAGGATTAATCGTGAAATCTTACTAAATTGCTGAGCAGAATACCTGACACATATAAGTCTTCAATAAATAGTATCTATTCTAAGGAGCTTTGGTAGCATAGTGGTTACGAATCGGGCTGCTAACCTCAAGGTCGGCAGTTCCAAACTACCAGGCGTTCCTCAGGAGAAAGATGAGGCTTTCTGCTCCCGTAAAGATTTACAGCCTCGGAAACCCTGTACAGGGTCGCTATGAGTCAGCACCGACTCCACGGTACTTAACAGCAAACAACAACAATTCTAATGTTTTAAGATTTCATTATCCTTAGAGTGATTTATGTTTGATCAAGACAAAGATTATTGTTATTTTAAAGATAGTGGAAAAGGTGGGTATATTTTAGTCAAAACATTTTATTTTCAAATTTAAACACTTCTAGTAATACTTTATGCTTAGTGATAGTTACATCAGCTATAAATTTTGCTTTTTTGTAATGCTCACATAATTCATACTTAATCTAAAACTAGGTAATAATTGAGGTTTTATGTGTGTATGTGTACATGTGTATGCTTACATGCTCTCTTAAGGATTTTAGGGTTTTGCCAGGTCAAATAGGCAAATAGTTTTCTTTCATGCTTTCATTATGTGAAATTGAAGTCAGGGAGGCAGTCAGTGAGAAACACCACACCGATGCTAAGTGATGGGCTAGTAATGCCCCAGCGGACCCTATGGTAAATGGTAGGATTCGTTTGGGGCTATGACCAACAGTGCCATGTTACTGTTGAACTGTCTAGTCACTTCCTAGTCCTTGCAACTCTATTGTTGTTAAGTTATTAAGTGTCAATGAGTCGGTTCCGACTCTTGCAACCCTGTATAGGGTTTCAAAGGAGTAGCTAGTCAGTTTGAACTGCCGACCTTAGGACACAGTAGAATTACCCTTTATCTAGTGTTATAAATAAATCTAGTGTTATAAATAAATCTTTATAGAAACAGATTGCCATACTTTACTCCCATAGAGCGTCTATTAGGTTCAAACTGCAAACCTTCGGTTTGCAGCAGAGCCCTCAACCGCTGCCCCACCAAGGATCCTAAAATTGCCATTTGTTGTTGTTGTTGTTGAGTGCCATCAAGTCTGTTCCGACTCATAGTGACCCTCTGTAGGGCTTCTGAGGGGCACCTGGTAGTCCAGTGCATTAACCCACAATGCTAAACCAGTTCTCCAAAATTGCCATAAGGCATCACAAAGTATATAAATTATAAAAAAAAATCACTAGTATTCATATTACAAAATTGGAAAGGAAAAACATCTGAAACTAATCATCAGAGCAAGAACACCAGTTCATTTATTTTTGATAGTGTAAATTGAAGCAATTCTATGCTGTAGACTATAGAACAAGAAATGGATAACGACTAACATATAATTTATAAGCCAAGAGAAAACACCTTTCTGCCTCAGTAGCATGCATTTGTAGCCAGCTTGCTTATTCTGTGTTCATTGTAAAGGCAAGGTGGTGGTGGTGATGTGCTGTTGTAACTCCTAGCAACCCTTCATAGAGTTTCTGAGGCTATAAATCTTTATGGGAGCAGAAAGCCTCATCTTTGTCCGTCAAAGAAAAGGTAGATGTATGTAATACATTTTTGTATTCCTCTTTAACAGTTTGTAAAGTAAATAAGGCAGAATACTCTTTTAATTATACTTTTAATCCTAACTATAGTTGAGGCTTTATTTTGTATAATATCAGACAAGAAAAAAAGTAACAAATGCAGTCTGACTATAAAAACATTAAAGTGAATGTACTTACATCTTGTAATTGTGAAGTTTTGGGGTTTTTTTGGATTTCTTTCAGATGGACAACATCATTGGAACAGTAAGAGATTCCAACCTGAAGTTGACGCTTGCTTTTGGAATAGGAATGCATCACGCTGGACTGCATGAGAGGGACCGAAAAACAGTAGAGGAACTGTTTGTGCACTGTAAAATTCAGGTATTTCTTTCTGGTTAACAGATATTTAAAGTTAAATTCAGAGTTATAGTTTACTTAGGTATAAGATAATGTCTTTTATCTTTTAGGTTCTTATTGCTACAAGCACATTAGCCTGGGGTGTAAACTTTCCAGCTCATTTAGTAATTGTTAAGGGAACAGAATATTACGATGGAAAAACAAGACGTTATGTGGATTTCCCCATTACAGGTAATTTTTAAATTTTACAAAGCTATGATAATTTTGGTTAGCCTTGTTAAGCTGAATTTACCTGCATTAAATATTAGAAAATTGGTCATATTTAAATGCAAGAGGAGCAGATTGTAATTTTATCTTAATGTAAATATTATTATGCTGAGCTGTTTTATTACCTTTTATTTACCCAATTTGTTAATAAATAAAAAGATCAAAATTGAGGGTTTTAAATTCATTAATATATTAAAGAACTGATTAGCTATTTGTGATTTAACAAATTATGACTAAACATTGCCAAGGTTCATTTTAAATTATCTCAATAGAATTGATATTTAAATGAAACTTCCAGAACCAGAGCATTTGTTTACAATTAAAGCATAGACAGTCCATTAAGGTATATTGAAAATCTCGATAAAAGAATTTTCAGTGAAGTCATTTTCCCCCCTCAGTGAATATATTAAAAAACTGTACCATTTCAAAATAATAATTTATTTGACAGATTTGTTGAATATAAAAGATAAAAGTTTTGTAATATGGGGTTGAAAATTAGGCTTAAATAGGGAAAATGTTGTTGTTGTTGTTAGATGTCATCAAGTCAGAACCAACCCATGGCTACCTGATGCACAACAGAATGAAACACTGCCTGATCCTAGGCCAACCTCATTAATTTTGCCACGTTAGAGTCCATCAATGCTGCCACTTGGCTATCCATCTCATTGGGGGTCTTCCTCTTTTTCTGTGACCCTCCAACTTGTTGTTGTTAAGTGCCGTTGAGTCGGTTCCGACACATAGCGACCCTGTACAGTGTTTCCAAGGCTGTAAATCTTTATGGGAGCAGAAAGCTTCATCTTTCGCCCAAGGAGTGGCTGGTAGTTTCAAACTGCTGACCTTAAGGTTTGCAGCCCAATTTGTAACCACTACGCTATACCAAAAATGATCTTTTCCTCCAGTGACTGGTCCCTCCTAACAATATCTCCGAAGTATGAGAGACAAAGTTTGGCCATCTTAGCCTCCAAGGAGCACTCTGGCTGCTCTTCTTCCAAAAACGGATCTATTGGTTCTTTTGGCAACCCATGGCACTTTCAATATTCTCCTCCAGCATCATAACTCAAGTGGGTCAATTCTTCTACAGTCTTCCTTATTCAGTGTCCAGCTTTCGCATGCATATGAGATTATTGGAAATACCATG